GGTCAAGAAGGACAGGGAACTGCTGGAGAGGGTCCAGCAAAGGGCTACGAAGATGATGAGGGGACTGGAACATCTTTCTTATGGGGAAAGGCTGAGGGACTTGGGGCTTTTTAGTCTGGAGAAAAGAAGACTGAGGGGGGACCTTATCAATGCTTATCAATCCTTAGAGGGAGGGTACCAGGGCGATGGGAACAGTCTGTCTTCAGTGGTGCCCAGTGACAGAACAGTAACGGGCACAAGCTTGAGCAAAGGAAGTTCCACCTCAACCTGAGGAGGGCCTTCTCTGCTGTGAGGGCGGCAGAGCAGTGGCACAGGCTGCCCAGAGAGGTGGGGGAGTCTCCCACTCTGGAGCCATTCCAAACCCGCCTGGACACTGTCCTGTGCCACTGCTGGAGGTGCCCCTGCTCTGGTGGGGGGTGGCACTGGGGGAGCTCCAGAGGGCCCTTCCAACCCCACCAGTCTGGGATGCTGTACCCATTGCAGTCATGCCCAAACTTTGGTTTTAAAAATACTGTAATTTGTAAATTGTGGAAACTACTCCAGTACCTCAGCAAAGATGTTCTCTTACATCTTTTGTGTTCATATTTAACACTGGGGAAACTCTTCTGCGTGGACTACTTTGCAAACTTTATTGCAGTATTTTTAAATCACCAGCTTGACCCTGGAAATCTCTTACTCTGTGGTTATTTTTCTCTCCCCTTTGCAAAGACCTAAAGTTCTGATGTAGTTTAGCCCAGAGATGAATTAAAAACCCAAACAGAGGAGCCGGCATTTTCACCTCTTTCTGATTTGAATTTCTTTGGATTTTAATTACATTAAAATCAGTGAAAGGGACCACGCTTTTCTTTGTTCTCCGTGGTCCCGGGGAGTCAGCAGCCACCTCTCCCTTCCGTGCTGAACGTTACGTGCTCTCTTCCTCGGCTGCAGCGCTGAAATGGAAGCCGCGGCTCCGTTTCACCTGCGTTCTCTCCGAGCCCGTGAGCATCCGAGGGGTTTGAAGAAATCGGTGCGGTACGATCCCAAGCTTTCCACACAAAATTCCCTGCAGCCGTTCATGCCGGTCCCACCCAGCCCTCCCGCTCCCGAAAAACGTGCGTTGCGCCCTAGCTGTAACCCGCACGGGGTACGCCCTGCTCCATCCTGGGATGATGCTGTTTATGAACACCCCCGCCCCACCACCCACCTCCCCCCGAGGGGAAAAGGGCCCTCTGCGTTCCCGGCTGCGCCCTCCCCTTCACCCTGCTTACGTGCCGAAATTTCTTGAGAGGCAATAAATTG